CTGCCATAAATACATGTACATCAGAGTAAAAAAGGAAAAATAATTTATAAACATGTTTATGAACTGTTTTTACTTTATAGGGCACTAGAGCCCCTCAGCACTAATCACAGTCCCACTCTGTGTTTCCTTTTATTCCTACAGTTGGACGTTTGTGCAGAATAATGTAGGCTATGTAAGGAGGCGGGGCCTACAAGCATGTTTTGTGAGATCACCAGCGTTAGGGAGGATTACTTTAACACACAGTTTGCTTTCTCTTAATAAACTCAACCATCAGTTTTAATCTGCGTCTGCTGGAGAGCCGCACGTACTTTATACCTTGTTAGTATTCAGCGTGGAGCACGGCGGACTGTACAAAGCCGATTCTGACCCTGAAATATATATTTTTTTAAAGTTAGACTCTAAATACATAAATAGAATATCTTTTTTAGGGAGTTCAGGGTAGCTTTTCTTTTGAATTATGCACCTTCATCACGTCAGGAGGTTGATGAAGCGACAAGGAGCGCTACGCCTCGGCTGCACTTAAATAACACCTGCAGCCGAGACAATTCCCGTTTTTTCATAATATTCCGTCTTTAAGTGTCTCCCACAAAGGAGAAACCCAACAGCAGAGCTTCAGACTGCTTTACAGACTACTTTTCTTTCTCCTCCTCCTCCTCCTTCTCCTTCTCGCTCTGCTTTGCAGAGACTGATGAATGGATGATGGGTTATTGATAGAAGGACGGAGGGATCGATAGGAGGAGGAGAGAGGCTGAAACTAGGCCACCCATCTGTTCAGACCCATTCATTTATCTGCTGGAAGTCTGGACAGAAAGAGAGGAGCGAGGGAGGGAGGGAGGAGAGTCTGAGAAACAACAGGGCAAAAAAAAATAGTTTCCTGGAGAAGAGGAGGCAGAGAAGGAAATGAGTTAGGAAATGAGAAAGGGATGAGGTAATGAAGGAAAGGAGGAGATTAACAAATAGGAAATGAGAAAGTAGAAGTGAAGGGAAACAAGGAGTTAGGTAAGGAAAGAAGGAAAAGTTTGAAGTATTGAAGATCAAGGTAGAGAAGGCAAGAAGGTGGGGAAAGGGTGGAAGTGAGGGAGAATACGAGGAAAGGGGGAGAAAATGTTTAGAAGAAAAAAGAGATTGAGGAAATACAAATGTAAATGAGAAGGAAATGAGGAAGTAGAAAAAGGAACAAGGAAGTATGACAAGACAAGGTGGAAAGGAAGGAAGTGAGGAAATAAGAAGATACAAATCAAAAGCAGGAAGTAGGAAAGAAGGGAAGGGAGTAAGGAAATTGGGAAAATGAGGAGGTAGGTTAAAGGAAAGAAGGAAAGAACTTCCAGAAGGAGACAAAACAAAAGCAGGGAAGCAAATGAAGAGACAGAAAAGGAGGAAAGTACAAGGTAAGGAAATGAAAGGAGGAGGAAAGGAAGGAAAGGATGAGATTCAAAAGGAAATAAGGAAGCAGAGAATGACATTTGGAAGTGAGTCGAGAGGAAAGTAGGAAAAGTGGACATGTAGACAGAAATAAGAGACAGGAAAAAGGAAATAAAGTAGGAAAGAAAATTAGGAAACAAGGAAGTAAATAAGGAATGCAAGAGGTAAGAAAACTTTGGAAATGAGGAGGAAGAAAGTAAAGGGAAAAGGGAGGTAGATAAGGAAAGGAGAGACATAGGAGATGCACAAGGAAATAACAAAATAGTTTGGGAAACAAGGAAGTAAGTAAGGAAAGGAGGAAAAGAGAAGGTAAGAGATAATATGTTAATAGGAGGAGATACGGAAGAAAACAAGGGAGCAAAAGAGGACACAAGGAAGTAAGAAAGAAAGCAGAGAAGGAAAGGAGGAAGTAGGGAAGGAGACAAGGAAGCCGACCATAAGGAGCTGTCTGAGCTGAGGAATCAAAATGATGTTGATGGACAGATGTGCAGCGCCTCCCAGTGGCTGCTGGGAACGCTACATACATGTTCCAGAGACCACACACACACACACACCTACACACACACACACACACAGCAGCCACTTCATCATAAACTTTATATAAAATCTCCACACCGTTACACAGTTAATACACAATATCCTGTTTCTCTCTCGCTCTCCTGATGAGAATAAATGAGCCCCACGCCTCAAATGAGAAGGTAATGGGATATAGAATAAATGATATTTCCTCCTCCATGAGTGTGTGTGTGTGTGTGTGTGTGTGTGTGTGTGTGTTTGAAATGAAAGTTTAAAGGATTTCTCCGCACTTACGAACTTTGTTTTTATTCTTCTGTTTCGGGATCCTTTCACAGCAGGCCGAGGGTATTTGTTTTCATAATTGATGTATTGATGTTGCCTTTTTTAAATTAAAGGTTGTTTTGGGGTTTTTTATTGCCTTTATTGGATAGAAGCAGCCGATCAACCTAGGAAAGAAACTAATTTCATGATGTGTAATAAAAATTTAATAAAAAAGAATAAACAGTCCATCAGATACGAATCAGAAAAAACATACACAGTAGGCCAATATCACAACATTTTGTTCATTTCTATGAAGAAAAAAATATTACATTGTTATTTTTGAAGTTTAGTTTATGATTTTTGTATTATTTATTTAAGATTAGAGACTTCACTCTATGCTAAACAGCCTCATCCTGCTATAGAAAACACTGAATTTAGCCTATTAAGGGTGTATGATTGTTAAAAAATTTAAAAATACATAATACAGACAGAGAATTGTATAAAACGTTCCTAACAATATCAAGAAAACTAATTTCTGATCAATATTCACAGGAAATAATCTGCTTATTTTACACAAACTTCCTGCAGTTAGTTCAACAATTGTACAGTTAATCAGTCATTTCTCTACTGTTATTGTTATATATTTTATATTTAATATGAAATAGCCATAATATATGTCACTATAGTTTATTCAGTGGTAGAAAAAGGTTGGGAACCACTGATTTAAAGGACCAGAGTGTTGGATTTAGTGACATCTAGTGGTGAAGCTGCAGATTGCAACCAACTGAAACTGCTCAGCCTGTCAAACATTGTAGGAGAAACTACGGTGGCTGCAAACTCACAAAAGAGTCAATGTTGGTGTAGAAACATTGGCGGTTTAACAATGGCAGACTCCTTATAAGAGGACAAAAACGTACTATCGATTCTTATACTCAGGTGATTATACACTAATAAAAACATTCCCATGAATATAGGTGCCAATGGATCCTCCTAAATGTTACACACTTACAAACTTTACTGGAAGATATCCTCCAGAGATGTGTTAAGTGAAATATATAAATAATCTGACAAGAAAAAGTACAGCCAAAGAGATGGTAAATGGGTACAAAGGGACACAAACATCATAAAGAAATGCCTAATGACTGCAAATAGATGTAAAACAACTGTATAAAGAGATACTAAATGACAATAAAAAACAACTACAAAGAGACAAAATGATAACAGAGACACAAAATATGCTAAAGAACTGCAAAGAAACAAAGAAAATAACTAAAAAGATGCTAAATGGCTACAAAAAAACTGGACCTTTACGGGGGAAAAAAGGCATTCAAACCCTTACTCCAAGATCCCCCCAGAGAAGTATTAAGACAAGCATTTAAATAATCTGATAGATAAAGTTAAATTTAGAACCTAGAACAACCAAAGAGATACTAAATGACAAAAAAAACTGCAAAGAGATAAACAGAGACACCTAAAACAACTGAACAGAGACGCAAAATATGCTAAACAACTGCAAAGAAACTAAGAAAATAACAAAAAAGAGATACAAATGACAACAGAATGACAACAAAGATGCTAAATGATTACAAAAACTGGACCTTTACGAAAAAAAGGCATTCAAAACCTTAGTCCAGAGATGTATTAAGGTGTATTTTACAGTGTAGACTGACCACAGACGCACGCATAATCCTCTAATTTGGGTGTATAAATCCGGTTGACCTCAGGTTGACGGGAATACACGTTTCTGTGTGTGTGTGTGTGTGTGTGTGTGTGTGTGTGTGTATGTGTGTGTAGTTTTAACTGTGACATATGAACTGAAAGCTGCAGTGGAAATATGAAAGAAAAAGCGACCAATCACATCCATGAAATGACACACACCCACTCATTACGCTGATAGATCCGCTCCGGGATTGGCGGCGACGTTCGAAATGTGAGCGGATTCAACCAGAGGATCTGATTGGCTGAGAGAAATTAAAACCCTGATGGATGGACGGATGAGAAGATGTTTTTCTCTAATGTAATTCACAGAGCTTTGTTACACTCTGACCTACATACTTAGAAGGATGTTAACAGCGCTAACGACTTCTCTCTGGACCAATCACACGACCTGGATAACAAGAGGGGCGGGGCTAATTGATGTTTAATTACTGGAGAACTTGGGCGAGCAGCTAATGGAGCAGAAATTCTCTCACTCACATGAGGTTTATTAGGCTTTAATAAGGAGGTCTGTCTGTCTGTGTCACCTGTCTGTCTTTATAACGACCCTCGTTAGTGGAAAACAAAAAACTTGCTGATTGGTGGAAACCTCCAGCAGTCGCATGATTGGTCGCTGCGGCTCAAACGTTTCTGCAAGGTTGTGAATTTTGCAACTCCTGCCGGAGCCAATTATATTCAGTCACACACACACTGCAGCCGCACACAGACATTCACACTACATGTATTTACAGGATGAAGATAGGTGAGAGAAAGTAAATTTACTTTCACAGCTTTGTAACTATATTTAGAGAATATATGCCGCCATGTGACAGACTCAAAATAAATGTGATTTTCTCCCGTTTCGGTGCCGTTATGGTGTCAAAAAGGTCCATGTTAAACACAAAGTTCCAAAACTTATATGTAAAAAAGGAAACACTACATTTAAGCACGCAGTCTCCAAGAGGTCACCCATTGGTTTCTGAAGAGTCGTCACGAAGCTCAGTGTGGTCGCTCTGGGTGTCGCCATCTTGGCAGTCCTGACTCTGCCAGCTTATTCAAAAAGTGGCCAAAGACGTAAATGAAAACAGACGCCTGCAGCCATTCCATTAATTATGCAAAACTTTATGCCTTTAAAACGTTTAGGACAAACATTTAGGAGGATCGATTGGCAGAAATGGAATATGTTGTATATAATATCCATAGATGATGGATTCAAAACAACCAAAAAGAGACACAAAACATACAAAGAGATGGTAAATGGGTACAAACTACAAAAACACAAAATGATAAGAAAGAGACGCAGAATGACTACAAAGTAACAACTAAGATGCTAAATGACTACAAAACAGCTGCAAAGAGACAAAGAAAAAAAGAAAAAAAAAGAGACACAAATCAACTACACAGATACAAACCGACTACAAAGAGATGCAAAATGACAAGAAAACCACTACAAAGAGACAAACAATGATAACTAAGAGACACAGAACAACTAAAAAGAGACACAAAATGACAACAAAGAGACATAGAACAACTACAAAAAGATACAAACAACTAAAAACAGATACAAACAACAACAAAATTACAACAAAGATGCTAAATGACAAGAAAACCACTACAAAGAGACAAAATGATACAAAGATGCAGAGAACAACAACAAACAGACACAGAACTGAAAAGAGACACAAAATGACTGCAAAGAGACATAGAACGACTACAAAAAGATACAAACAACTAAAAAATGATAACAATGACGCTAAATGACCACAAAACAACTGTAAAAAGATGCTAAACAGCTACAAAGAGATACAAGAAACAGAAAGCAAAATGACCAAAAAGAGAGTTGTTCAAGAGAATATTCAAAGAGATGCAAAATGACTACAAAATAACTAAAAAGAGACAAACATCAACTACAGAATGACAACAAAGATGCTAAAATATCTACAGAGATACTAAACGGGTACAAAGACACACAGACTTTTAATCTTTCTAATGTTTCTTTAAATTTCCCATCCAATTCTTCCTTACGTTTTTCTTCTTCGTCTTGAACCAGATGAATATTTATTAGCAGCCTTAAGGGTTGACGTCAATTCGCTGCCATTTGATCATACACATTATATATTTACAGGAGGTGGCAGCGTATTTTAACACCTCGTGACATGTAGTGAACATATGAAGCGACAGAGACGAAACCAATTAGCTGCTTTAATCTCTTTTTATTCTCACAGAAAACAGAACATCTGTTAATATCTAAGCTCTAAAAACGCTCGGCAGCAACGTCAGAGAAACAAATACGTCTCCTGATGAATGATGGATGCGTAAATAAGCAACTATTTGCTCACAAGCTCAACATATTAACTTAAGGAATCAATTTATTTATCATTAAACAACACAAGAAGGTTGTATAATGAAATGAGAGCTTTCAAACACACAGGAAAAGATAATTAAATTCATAGAATAACATAGAAATAATAATAATAAAATATTTATACAGTTATTTAATAATTGAATAATCTCCCTGTAAGTATTCAGTCATCATAGCACCTGTTTAAAATACCCTTTCTTCTTATTTTAGTATCAGTTGTTCTTAATGTTGGTTGTACATTGTAATTTCATAACATTATATTAATCCTACCACTTTAACTATGAAGTAATTATCTTTTGTTTTGTTGGGGTTTTTTGGGGTTTTTTGGGGGGTTTTTTTTGTCAAATTTGGTTTAATTGTATGCTGTTAACTACATATTTAGGACCCTCATCTTTAAAGGGGTTAATACTAATAAAGAATTTCCAATAAATCTACATAAATAAATACACTTTTACACCCAGGAGATAATTTCTTGAATGTAAACAACAGCAACAAGATAACATTTCATCTTCACATAGAAAGAAACAGCGTCCATCCACTTCCAGCTCAGTTCGTGGTCCTTCTGTAAAAGATGTGGGGGCACAACAGTCTCTGATTTCCTGTTGTTTGATCAGCATGAGTCCCATTTTTCATCCAGAACCAGAATGTTATAGCCAGGAGCCGCCTTAAAGTCCAAACCAGGACCAGCATGGCTCCTATTCGGCCCTCTCTTCCTCTCCTCTTGGGGCAACAGCCCCCACTGTGGTTGCTCGTCTCAGTCTGCTGTTCTTTAATCCAAAACCCCCCACGCTTCCTCCTCTTCTGATGTCCGCTGGCTGAACTGCAACACAGGAATCTAAAGAGGGTAAAAACAGGCCTTGTTTCTGGGAAAAATATTCTTATTTTGTCTAAAGGTGATCTTGAGTAAAGAAAATACATAAAACTGTGTCTTAATCTGACATTAGAGCTACTTTTGAGCTCAATTTAACAAGTTACAACAGTGGTTTGTATAATATCTCAGCAGAGGAACCAGATTATTGTCCTTATTTTAAGACTTCCAGTGTTGGAAATGAAGCAACTGTGTAGTTTTTTGTTATTGTTTTAATTCAAAATGCTAAAATTAATAAAGTTACTGCTGCATTTAAGATGAAGTCACTTATTTTTATTATGTTGTTTGAAGAAATTGTGTCTCGTGCTAATTATTAAACTTAGATTAAAGGTATAAATGCTTAATTTTAGCTCCATATAGTGACCAAAATACTGATTTTAAGAATCTTAAATATCAGTTTTTACTCTATTCTGTCTTATTATCACCTTGTCAATCGTCTGTGAAGCACTCAACTGTTTGAAAGTTGCTATAAAAATAAAGTTTGATTGCTAGTTTTCTACTTCTAGCCAAGGAAATATTGTCTTAATACAAGAAAATCTGATTTTATTTAAAAATATTTGGCTTTGTTTCTACAAAAGGGCTGTTTATCGCAGTGTGTGTGAAACCACAGATGTTTGTTTTAATGATGTTTCAGCCATAAAGTTTCTGCATACAGGCGTTGCCACGGTGATATCATGTCAGTGTTTTGTTTCTGCTGCCCCCAAGTGGCCAAAAATAAAAAAGGGGCCATTTTGTGCCTTCTTTTCCAGATTTCTCTTCTCAGTGAACCGATTTATTTTGACCTTGAACAGACGAGTTTCTCCGCTGCTTCAACATTTACCTGCTCTGAGTGTGTGTGTGTGTGTGTGTGTGTGTGTGTGTGTGTGTGTGTGTGTGTGTGTGTGTGTGCGTGTGTGTGTGCGTGTGTGTGTGTGTGTGTGAGACAGATATTACCATATCAATGGCTTCTCTCTGATAGCTTCCCTCCCACTTCTTCTTTTCTCCCTTTTCTGTTGGGACGTAATTGTGGTTGATTATCAGAGGAGCACACACACACACACACACACACACACAAACACACACACACACACACACACACACACACACACACACACACACACTCAGAGGCCTACTGCAGTGTTACAGCCTGAGAATAGGAGGTTTTTATACCTTTTTTATTACAACACAAGACTGAAACCACTCATTAGAGAGGAGGAAGAGGAGGAGGAGAGAGCACTTTCTTATTGGTCGTCCATCATTCTGATCACTCCTAATTAGTTTCTACGTTTTATGGATCCTTTATAGTTTGATGTTTCCTGTCGAGGAGTCTTCAGTTTGATGTTCCCTGTCAGTCTCACATCGTCAGACCGATATCTCTGCTGGTTGAGAGGTCTTGAAGTCTTGATTCTGCTTTAGAGTCCTTAGTTTTTGATGCTTTTATTCCTCCGTTTGATATTTCTCTCCGCTGTTCACTCTTCAGATATATATTTTTATCACTGCTGTAGTCGTTAAGTTGATATTCCTGAATCTTTAGTTTGACATTTGTGTTCGCTTTAGTCTTTATGTTGATGTCTGTTTGATGTTCCCGTCGGGTTTAGGGTCTTAATTATTCTTTTCAGACTCTTTAGTTTGTCACTTTTAGTCCGTATCCGACATAATTACATATTGCAGACATGAAAATGTAATTTTTTATTTGAATTTGTGGAACGTGTAATCGTAATTACATTATTTGTGTCAGTTTTTATGTTTCAGTTTTCACATCTTGGTCATTTCTGGGGGTTTTTATTTCAGAATTTTGGTTTCTGTTTTTTTATTTTCACTTTTAGGGTCTTTAGTTTGATATTTCTGTTGGTTTCTTTCAGTTGTTTGGTCTGTAGATTGATTTTTGTGACAGTGTTTGCCTTTAGTTTAATATTTCCGTCCATTTTAGATTAATTTGTTTGACCTTTATGTCCATTTTAGTTGTTATTGTAATATATCCCACTGGTTGTTTGGACTTTTAGTGGATTTGTGTGTCTGTTTTAGTCTTTAGGTTGATTTTTCTGTCAGTTTTAGTTTGAATTTTCGGACTGTTTTATAATCTTGAGGGTGATGTTGGTCTTTTAGTTTGATAGTTCTGTGGGTTTTTAGAGTCTCTGGTTATTTTGCCTGTTTCAAATTCTTTCGTTTGCCGTTTGTATGCGTTTTATTTTGGTGTTTCTGTCTGTTTTAGAGTCTTTAGTTGGATATTTATCTGGGTTGTTTGGTCTTTAGGTGGATTTTTCTGTCTGATTTAGTCTTTCCTTTGATATTTCTGTCAGTTTAAGGGTGTTCGATTGTTATTTTCTCTGTTTGAGATTCCTTCATTTGACATTTATGTCAGTTTTGATGTTTTTGTCTGTTTTAGAGTCTTTACTCTGATATTTCTCTGGGTTGCATGGTCTTCAGATTGATGTCTCTCATTGTTTGAGAATCTTTAGGCTGATATATCTGTTGGTTTCTTTTGGTCTTTTCCTTTGAGTCTCTCATTATTCTGCCTGTTTCAGATTCTTTAGTTTGACATTTGTGTCAGTTTCATCCTTCATTTTGATATTTCTGTCTGTTTTATAGTCTTTAGTTTGATATTTCTGTCTGTTTTAGGGTATTACGTTTGTTATTTTGTCCGCTTGAGATTTCTTCTGTTTGACATTTATGTCAGTTTTTATGTTTCTGTCTGTTTTATAGTCTTTAGTTTGATATTTCTCCGGGTTGTTTGGTCTCTACGTGGATTTTAGTGCCTCATTTCATTTTTAAGGTTGATATTTCTGTCAGTTTTAGAGTTTTTAGTTTACTATTATGTCTTTAATTTGATATTCCTGTCTGATTTAGAATCTTTACTTTGATATTTTGTCAATTTTGGGGATCTTTCAAGTGTTTAGTTTGATATTTTTTGCAGTGTATGAAAGACTCCTCTCTTCTTCTTCTGCTCAAGGGCACCGAGGCAGTCGGTTTCCAAACCTGCAGCTCTGGTGCTGGAAACAAGGCCTGTTACCATGGTTACCCCGGATAGAGAGAGAGAGAGAGAGAGAGAGAGAGAGAGAGAGAGAGAGACAGAGAGAGAGTCTGTCATTCATTCCTCTCTCTCTCTCTTGTTCATGTCAGTTCAGGTTTCTGAGTCTGACAGGATTATAACCTGACATGAAACCCTGAACACACACAGACACAAACACACACACACACACACACACGAGAGAGAGAGAGAGAGAGAGAGAGAGAGAGAGAGAGTCTGTGACATTGAGAGAAAATAGATTTGAAGGCAGCAGAGTCACAGTACAAATCAGACGCTATTTACCCTGGAGCGCACCCTAACACACTGAGACTCACTCTAACACACACACACACAGCCACACACAGTAGCTCTGTGCAGATTTGGATTACCAGCACTGGCTGAATGTGTGTGTGTGTGTGTGTGTGTGTGTGTGTGTGTGTGTGTGTGTGTGTGTGTGTGTGTGAAGCTGGGGATTCAGCAGCAACATAAATGGGCACGAGGCTTTCACACACTTAATAAAGCCTTTTTTAAAAACACGGTTAAAGGTTTACAGAGCCAAATAATCAGGTTTCTACAGCTGAAATCGAGTTGTATTAACCAGCAGTCTCCAGCAGCAGGGGCTCAAAAGTATTCTGTCAACATACTGAGGTACAGAGACTGAATCTGTACACTGAGTGGTGAATATGAGATGAGGGCGCAATCTGCTTCTGACTTTGCTTGTTCAACGTCACTTGCGTCAGCCGCTGTATCGAGGCACCAAGACGTGCTTTTTGGCTTCCCCGAGTGTCAAAAAAAAAAAAAAGAATAAGACATTGGAAAAGATATGAGACTGTTTTCCTGTAATGCGAAAAGTTGTTTTAACAAAAAAAAAAGTAATAGTTAATTAATTTATTAATTTAATTACATCAAAGTGAAGAAAAACAAAATTTTTAGGTTAAAAAAAGTTTTAAAAATTCTTGATTAAGCAGCTTTTACTTTTAATTTTAGTGACACTAACTTAGTTTTTATTAAAGCTACTTGATCAAGAATGTTAGTTTTACTTAAAACATTCAGTGTGATCAGTTTCAACTAATTTTTTTTTGTTATATAAACTTTTCTGGCTGTTCACTGCAGTTACTGGCGTGAACTTTGGGTTTTTACATTTTTCAGACCATTTACAGGCACAAAAAAGAAATATAACGCACCAAAGAACAGGTAAAAAGCATAATAAGGTCTCCTATTATGTTAATAGAAAACTGAATATTCCTGCTAAATGTATTTCCTGTTGTAAATTAGTTGTGTATAAACATCATTTCTAGGATTCAGAGCTGCTCTATAAGACCTATAAACTAAAACCATTGGTTTTATATACAGTGTCATGGTTTTAGGATTTTCTTTGGTTATTTCCTGTTTTATTTTGTAGTTTTCCTCCTCTCGTGTCTTGTTTTCACTTCCTGTTTCCTCCAGTTTTGATTATTCTCACCTGTGTCTCGTTATCCTCCCCCTCACCTGTGTATTTAGTCCTTGAGTGTGTTTGTTTCATTTGTTCGTTCACATGTGTCGCTCAGTCTGCTCGTGTTTTGCCTTTATTGTTTGGACTAGTTTCAGGATTTTGGACTTCTGCTTTATGGACATGTAAGTTCATGTTTCATCACATTTTTCTTCTAACTGTGAACCAAGTTATTCTTAATTCCTGCCTGTCGGATTCCCCTAAAATGAATGGGGTTGTAGAAACACTACTGCTATTGTCCACTGGGGGCACCAGAATCAACAAAAGGTCCTTGTTTGCTGCTTTAAATAAAATTAATTTGAGTCTAAATTTGAGGGAAATAAAATTGAGGGAATCAATTAGACCAACTTCAAATGTCTTTGTCTGTGAGCTCTAAAGACAATCACGATTAAAAGTTGTGCTATTTGTGACGTTTGTGCGTTAAACGACGTGTCCATGGCGGTGGCGTTGAATTTCAACGTATGGCTGTGAAACAGGAAGTTGCCATAACTTCAGTGTACTTTGTCCATTTTCCAACCAAACTTCATATGTTTGCTAAAAGTCCCACCCTGAACACATCTGACTCACTCATAAGCGCCCCCTACTGGAAACAGGAAGTAAGCCTCGTGGTCGATAAACGATGCTGCCGCGGACAGTGTTGCTCACGTGTTGATCCCGACTCCGCACCCAGAACCTCCTCTCTAATCCAAACACTGCTCACCGCCACTGCAGGGAAGCGAGTTCCACATTTAAGTCTGCTTTCTTAAGCCGTAGCCTACAGATGAACGCACACACACACACACACACACACACACACACAGAGAGAGAGAGTTATGATACTACAATAATTGCTACATACAGACTCAAACACACAGCAGTGATGTCAGATTAATGGGTGCCTCGGGCTGCAGAGAGAAACCTTAATCATCCATCAACTCTGACTGCTGATATAATTCTCTCACACACACACACACACAGTATCTGTCATCTTCCAGTGTTTTCTCTACTTCTCTCGAGGAAACAACCAATTTGCTTTGAACATTTCAATTTGACTCCCTCTCTCTCTTCAGCTGATTGGCTTTGAAATACTGCAGCAAACAACAAACAGTACTACAGAACACTTACCACAATACGAGAGGAGAATCAGATTTTAATTGTAGTTGTTCGATTGCGGTTTCTTTTATATAAGTGTGACAGGAAGTCTTGACCAATTAAATATTTCTTTAGCTTTTACATTTAAGATCTGTTAATTTCTTCATGTTTTTGAGGATCTAAAGCTTTTACCAATAGGTTTTTTAGCCTTTTTAATAAAATAAGATTATTTATTAACTATAGATTCCAGTTATCTGCATCTGTCTCTAGCAAGTTGTAAAATGTTTTCTTTTTGTATATTGATGTGCTTCTGTTTCTTTTTAGCTTTTGAATGGACATTATTCGAAGAGCCAACCACTCTTTATCCTACTTATATTACTGTGCATTCACTATTTTCTGTTTTTTCTTTTTTTCTTTTGTGGTGTCTTCAGTTGCATTAAAGGGGAGTGAGGGGTAGAGTAGCCACCTTGCATGTGTGGTTTGAGTCAACTGAGCTTGCTATGGTCTAAATAGGTTTGTTTTTGTGGTTTATCTCTAATTTGAACCATTTTAAATACTCTTTCGTACCCACCTCCATCAAAATTTTAAATAGATCTGTACGCTGAGGCCTGGGGAGTGTGCAGTAATTTGGTGTTTTGTTTGTTTTGTTTTTTATTTGCTTTAATCTTTCATTGGATGTGTCATGAGTGTGTATGTAGCCTACATGTACATCTTTAGCTGTTATATGTATTTTATGTGTATTTATTGTCTGTAAGGGCAGCTACTACTATGCACTACGCACTTTGAGTCCATGACAAATTTCCCCTAGGGGACAATAGAGTATATTCTATTCTATAATTTGCCCACCTACTGTTACAATTCAAAACACTTAACTCTACACCAGCTGCCGTAATAGTGCAGCCTCGCATTGTGCAGTTTCTTTTTCTATTTAAAGTTTTAATTTATGTAGGATTCATACATTTTACCCCCTCTTTCTCTCTTCCTTTCTTATGCATTGTAAATAAAAACTATATTTTTGGTACAGCAGTCTCTAGTTCCAGGTTATTCTGGGGCTTGTGCATTCAGTCACACAAGTAATTTTCATTCTGGTTACAATAAATGGATTTCCCACCTTTTGCTGAGCAAGAGATTTTTGTGCAAAAGGAATTAAAGTCTGTCCCATAAAAGAAGCCTGTCCAAAGAGTTCAGTGACTCAAGCAGATAAAAGTTTTACAGTAGCTCTCTATAGATACTCAGCTTGTTTGAAGGGTTCGGGAAAAACTCCATCAAGCATCCAAGACATCCATTTTCAAAAATTCAGAGTCTGTGGTGGAGCTCATTTTGAAAGGGAGAATAAAGTTTATGCAGACATCACTCAGGCCGGACTGTGTTCAGTACAAATACAGGCTGTATGGCAGATCCTGACTGAAAAGAGAGCGAAGCTGCTGGCAGCTGCAAAAAAAAAAACGCCACTCACCATCAGAGGACAGAGAGAGACTGTGTAAATCTGCTTAAACAGACTTTGGCTTCATGCAACATTAATGTGAAGAGCTGCTGTGGAAATTCTGTTGACAGTACAGAGGGGCTGTCGACCTGTCTGACTGACAGGCTGCATGTGTGGTGGAATCACTCATGTGGTTAGCTTACTACAGGGTTAGCTGTAGTATCTGCAGAGGTCGACATTACATTAATAAGAATTATTACAGCATTATTTCAGAACTGATGTTGGTACATTTTGGTTACACAAGATCAAACGTTTTCAGTCTTCCATACAGCATGATGTTCATTTAGTAACTGATGGTCCCATTTAGAGTAAAACAGTCCATAAAGCAGGGTATGCTTTAGGGCGGGGCTACCTTGTGATTGACAGCTCATTCTCAGTGAGTCCATCCAGCTCAACGCACCAAACTCAGACCAAACTGTCGAACTAGGCAGTGCTGATCAGATATGGATCTGTGCACATACACTGAGAGGAGACATCAAACCTTTTGTATCGTATGTATTTGCATATTCATGGTTTATTAATTTTTCCATGAGGGAGAAGGAGATTCTTAAACAGGGCAATTGAGCTTTTTTTTAATAGCAAAATAACCTCAATTATCAAAGTATTTTTATGTCTTTTATATATTTAATCCAAAATATGTAACTTAAAGACTACTACTGCAACAGAGTCAATGAGAGGGGAAACTTATTTGAAGGAATATCTATCACTACTAAGATAAAGAAATGAATAATCCCCTTTTGACTTTGTGTCTACTTTTTTTTTTTTTTTTTTTCAAACTTCTTGACGCTCCTCACCTGTCCAGTTGATATGCTTGATAGATTTATGATATAGACTTCTGCAGGCCTGACAACCATTACTCCTCACTCACACCACACCCATCAGTTATTACTTTAGCGTCCCTTGCTGACAATCCCAGACCTGTTATGCACGGTATTTGGTGCCAAACTAGTTGCGCACAAACAATTAACCAGACCCATTTGCAGATCTCTACCATGGCAGAAGTGTAAAAGACAAACCACGGCAGTCCTGCCTGAGTTGTAACCATTTACTTGTCTGTCTATTCCAGCTCTTTGAGCAAATATATTATGTAAAGTATGTCTGCATTTAAAGTCCACACATTTACAAATCTGAATACACGCACACAGACTTTCCACACACTTGCAGACCCCCCGTGCACACAAATGTCAGTACATATTTACAGATTCTTTTACACATTTATGGGTTCAGATACATTTGCACAACTCTCCACTCACATTTGTACAGTTTTGCTACAATAATGGCTCCATATTCATCAATGAGAAGCTTCTCAGTCGTTCTTTTCATTAGTCAGATAGTCGCAGAAAAACAAAAACAATGTTAAACTCTGTTTGGGAGCTGCGCCTTCTCACCAGGACATATTATATAATATAATAAATAATATTACGCATCAAAAGTAGTTTTTATTTTTTTTTATTTTGTGTGTATGTGTACCTGGATTTAGTAGAGTCTGACAGCTGTTGAGGACAGTATATGAATACAGTGCAAAAGTATTTATATTCTGGAAAGACTTTTAACTATTACAGCCTACACAAGATCAGCAAATTATTCTGACCTTTCTGTTTACCTCTGTGTGTGCACTCACACGCACACAGATACTAGGGTGGATCATTTATTTATGCAGCAGAAAAGAAACCGAGGACACAGACAATAGACACTCATGCCCACACAGATGCTTCAAAGAAAAAAAGATTTGGTGACAGACATAACAGACTGGGATGGGTTGTTGAATTAATGCACGACATGCAGCTCTACTGTGACATAAGATTTGAGTCACTCATTTTAGTTTACACTAAATATATATATTTTATCTTAACCATTGCAGCTGTCTGGGCTTTCTTGGAGTAACTACAGAAAGGCGCCTTGATGGTTTTGAAAATATTTTTACTTTTTAATCACATCTCACCACAAAATGAATAATAAATTAATTGAATTACAGCTAATGCAATAGCTCTGAATCTTCCCAATGAGAACTTGTATGGAGTAACTGTATCAGATCTGTAAATCTGTAAAATATGTACTGAGATTGTGAATGTGTACAAGAATCTGCAAACGGTTTTCAGAATCTGTGGGTGCATAATCAGCTTTGTAAATGTGTAAAAAAACAAACAAATTTGTGTTCAGAATGTAAATGTATTAAGATTTGTAAATGTGTAGACAAATGAAGATGTCCCCCCATTGGGGAAATTCTTTTACTTACACACACTCACACTCACACACACTCTCTCTTCATGCACTTGTGGACATGCAAACAGGGAGAGAGATGGTGGAGTGATGGGCTTACCAGGTTGGCGGTACCCATGAGCAGTTTCTTGGGGTTAGGTTGCCTTGCTCAAGGGATCCTCAGCAATGCACAGGAGGTGAAACTGGCACCTCTCCAGCTACCAGTCCACACTCCATGTTGTGGTCTGTGGGATTTGTTCAGGCGACCCTCCAGTTCCCAAGCCAAGTCCCTACACACTGACCAGAGTCACACAACACATTGATTAAACTGTGACCCCCTTTAGGTTTGTCAAGAACTTCAGTGCCAAAGTGGAGCACCATACACATTAAAAAATGCAGGGTTAAAAACAACATAATCTGGGTTGAATATTCAATCCAAATGCTGGTTGATATTGACTAAAATGCTGGATTAATCCATTGAATTGAATTGAAGTGAAGTGAAGTGAATTGAATTGAATGGTTAAATATTTTTTTGGATAATATTTTATCCAAAAGTTGGTTTACAGTTTGGTAATGGAAACAATACATGTATGCAATAAACAATGCACTTGTAAGCAAAACAAGCAAAATAAAATTATGAAACCAATAAAAAAAACATTCACTTTTATAGACCACTTGCCACATTCCCATGCATGAACGCACTGATGGGAGTAGTTAAAGTCAAAGACATAACATGCCTCAAAACACACATTTTCTTACAAATACAACTTAGTTTGTAGATTATATACGTGCAAAATTTAGCACAGCACTTTCATGAGAAGTCTCAAGCTTTGAGTTCAAGTTTGGCTAACACCCAGGTTGTGGCTCTCAGGTAATGTCACGGACCAAAAGCTGGTGTGCAACATGGTAAAATAACACAGTTAGTGCTGGTATGTGAGGAGGATGCAAAAGTGAATACAGACCTTTCCTTTACCCTTATGCACGATGAGGATGTGCTGCTTCATGGGTAGTATGTTGCCAACAGGGGACGACACAGCGGCTGTGGGAGTTTGGAGCAGCGGCGGTCAACCGTCACTCTGGATGACCCAACCATGGACCCAGCAGCTGGGTAACACAAAAACTACCCAACTCTGAAAACAACCTAAAAAGCTTTAAACCCCACGTATAGGTAGAACAAAATAACCCAGCTTTTTTTAGTGCACCATTTCAATCGAATGTAAAATACCTTTTACAATTACCATTGTTCACTGCTCTCCAGATTACATGTATACATGGTGCAGCTGAAATTCAATATCTGTTTTTATGCAAATAAAAAAAAATACATCCCTATGAGTAACCACCTACAACATCATAGTAACCATCTACCAACCACCAGCAGATAGCAATCGATTACTGACCATCAAGATTGTTGTATCCACTGACTGGAGAGATAATCAGTGGGGCAGAATTTCTGCCACTGTCACCAGTACCAGGACTAAAGAATGGGTATAGTTTCTCTGTGAAGGAGCATCCAGTAAAAGAGAATAAAAGATCTGCAGTATCAACGTCATAAAAGGAGACCAGACCCTCCTCATAATCTACAAACACTCTCACCTTCTCAAGAGGATAATTCACAGAGAGAGGGACAGGTTGGCTAGCAAGTGCAAAATACTCTTTTCTGTTCCTCAGACATATAGACCAGTAGCCATTCTCTGTGTTTAGTTTAATCTCTCCCTTCCTGGTGACTGACTCACTGGCCACTCCTAAAGTCCATCCAGTCTTCCCCTTAACTTGAACATCATAGTGAAATCTTCCACAAGAGAAACTCTGCTTTCCCAAAACATGCAACGCAGATTCAAATTGTTTTGGGTTGTCGGGGGGTTTATTCCACGTGTCACAACAGTGTACTTGTTTCCCGTCATCAGAAAGGATGAGAGCAGGATGTGCTGTATCTGGATCCAGAGTCACATCCACCCCATTCAGCTGGATGCTTTTCAGCTCAACTTCATGCAGCTGCTTCATTTCTTTTCTGACTATCTTTGTCAGCTGATCCACAGCACTCACCATAGCTGTCCTCGCGATTCCTTCATATAACGCTGGACAAATGTTGACCTCTGTCCAGTCTTTAGTGACTGGAAAAGCCTTCAGGGATGGGAAGCTTTGGAGGAAATGGAGGTGGTCTTCTGAACGTGAGAGCTGTTGTACCTCAGCCCGTCTCCTTGTCAGCTCGGAGGTTTCTTGCTCCAGCTCTTGGATACAAACATTGCCCTCTTCGTCTTTCATTTTCTGCTTCTCTTCAATCATCCCAATGAGTTCTGCCTGGGCTCTTTCCAAAGTTTCAATCAAAGCAGTGAAGACCTGAACACCATTTGTCACCTCTCTGTCCGCAGATTCCTTGCTGAGCTTTATCAAATGTCTGATCTCCTGATCTTTCAGTTGTCTATCCAGGATCATCCGCTGAATTCTAGCCTCTATTTTCCTTAGCTCTGTCCTCTTTACTTCATATTCTTTCTTCAGAGGAACAACATGGTGAAATCTGTGACTTGAGTCAGCGCAGGACTGACATATGGCCATTTGCTCGTTCTTGCAGTAGAGCTCGAGAGGTTTGCCATGCTTGGTACACGTGTTGTCCGCCACGTTCTCCCCAGTATCAAATAGTCGATCAGTTTTCAGGCTCAACACTGTTTGATGTAGCTTAAGGTTAGTTGAAAAGTAAATAGTGAGACAGGCTAGGCCTAATGTTACCAATATGCAGGACTTCAGGGCTGTCCTTCTAGTTCCAGGAAGGTCATTGAAAATTTTCCCGGGCTTGGCAACGTCTTCCTCAGAGGTATTCCTGGCTTTCTTTCCAGCTGACTGTCTGAATTGAACAGCCATCTCAGATATGAAAGTATTGACCCCAAGCTTATATTTTCTGTCAAGACGCTCTTTACACATGGGACACTGCCGCTGGGAGTTGAAGTTCAAGTGTTGCGTGATGCAGTCTTTGCAAAAGTTGTGTCCACATGGCAATGTGACCGGATCAGTGAACACATCCAGACAGATGCAGCACAAAAGCTGCTCTTCAGTCAGAAGATAGTTAGGAGCCGACATGTTGACGCTGTAAAAAAGCAAAACAGTAACACTTTGAGTCATTTGAACTCATCAAAATAATCGTTGTACTAGCTTAAAGCATACCTTTTAAAAGGCCAGTGTGTAAGATTTATTAGGGCAGATTGCAACCAACTTGCCTCACCCTTTTGTTTCCAATCATGTAGGGGAAACTATGCTGGCTATAAAACATGTGGAAAGGGGTGCCTGGTTAGCTCAGTGGTTAGAGCTGGCGACCCATGTACTGAGGCTGAGTCCTTCCTGCAGCAGCCCAGGGTTCAAATCCAGCCTGCGGCCCCTTGCTGCATGCCACCCCCTCTCTCTCTCTCTCTGCCCCCCTTCCTGTCTATCTTCAGCTGTCACTGTCATAGAGGCAATAAAAGCCTAAAGAAATAAAATATTGGAAAAACGGCGATCTATAGCCAGTGTTTGCCTACTGCATAGATCAAGACTCATTCTAGGGTAAGGAAAACACAACAATTCCTATTTTCAGTTGATTATACGCTAATGAAAAAATACGTGAATGAATATTATCAATTTCTGCCAATAGATCCTCCTAAATGTTACACACTGGACTTGTTTAAAATGTGTTAGACTTTAAAATACCTGACGTGACTCAAATTGGTAGCAATAAAAGACACTGTCTCATTCTCCACATTCCTGCTGCCATTACTCTGCAAAAAAATCAACCCAGTAAAAGAGGCTATTCAAATATTCCAATGATTGTTTAATTGCACACAGTGGAGCACACAGGTTTTGGAATGGCTGAAGCAAAACACGGCCTTCAGCACTGTGGGTTTGATGTTACAGGCATCAGTAGTGTAGCGAGTGAAGCAGAAACTAAAAATTTTCATCTGATTGTTTATAAGAAGCAGAACACTCTCTATACTGTAAGCCTGAGATTAATAAAAAAAAGCCTTCAGCAACCATGAATTTGAAAAAGCGATGAACCACACATGTAAACTTCTCTAACCTGTTATGCAACTAGTGATGGTAATTACGGTTCTTTTAGGAGGGCAAATCTTTTTGCCCCCCCCCAAAAAAAAAAAAAAATTTTTTTAAAATTTTAAATAAATTTTGAAAAAAAATTTTTTTACAAATAATTTTTGTATTATTTTTTTATAATTTTTATTCTTTTTTTTTTTTTTGAGAAAAAAAAAAAAAAAAAAAAAAAAAAAAAATAAAAAAAAAAAAAATTTAAAAAAAAAAAAAAAAAAAAAATAAATTTTTTTTTTTTTTTTAAAAAAAAAAAAAAAAAAAAAAAAAAAAAAAAAAAAAAAAAAAAAAAAAAAAAAAAAAAAAAGATTGGCTTCTACACAATAAATAACATGCAATGACAATCCCTTTTAGTCATGAAAGGTTGTTCTTGAATATCCACTTCAGGCGGGCTCCGAAATCTCTAGTATTAAAATACCAATAATAAGGGGTTGAAACAAGACACGCCCTTCAGCACTCTGGGTTTGATGTTATAGGTATCAGTAGTGTAGCGAGTGAAGCAGAAACTAAACATTTTAATTTGATTGTGTCCCAGAAGTGGAACACTCTCTATACTGTCAGCCTGAAAAGCATTTAAAACAAAAAACACCCTTCAGCAACCATGAATTTAAAATGAAATGTTTCATAGAGAAATCGTTGACAAGTACTGTACATTAACCCCTGAGGATGTCAAAAATGAATTGATATTGGCCAAATATCTGGTACCAGTATTGGTATCTGTACATCACTGATTGATCGAACACATTTTAAAGTGACTTGGATCCTAAACTTTACACTTTAAAACCAGATTAAGTTCATCTGAAATTGATTACATAAACATTTTTATATACATTTTAGATGGACTACCACTCAAAAACACTGTGACAAAAGACTGCACTGACCTGTGTGTGCCAAAGACTCTTCGGCTGTGTTGTTGAAAATGTTGACTGTTAACTGATCTTCAGACAGAAAGGCATCCAGCTCTGTGCAAAAACTGTGCCTGTGTAGAACTTGTTGCTGATACTTGGCCAAGGCACACCTCTTCTTTTGCTTCTAATTTATTGGTGTTGATTTATATGTCTCATAATGCGTCAACCCTCAGAGATTTACTGTTAGCTGTCTGATTCCATTGCAAAACTACAGATTATACAAGATTACACAGCTCCGTCTTAAACAAAATATTCTGCCTGTTTCTGTCCAAAGCCTGGCACAAAAAGCGAATATATCCATACAGACTACAGACAGTATATAAACATTTCATAAATGGTTTATAACACTAATGTAGCAGCTATAAGTGTTTATTAATGTATTTGCAGACACTCGCCCTGTTGGTACCCACAATACCAATGCAATTAGTGGAGGCTGGTGGGCAAACAAATAATCAATGACAATAGAGTAAACCACAGTTGTAGTAATATAAAATATGTGTTCATAGGAGAAATCGTTGACAAGTACTGTACATTAACCCCTGAGGATGTCAAAAATGAATTGAGATTGGCCAAAAATCTGGTACCAGTATTGGTATCTGTATATCACTGATTGATCGAACACATTTTAAAGTGACTTGGATCCTAAACTTTACACTTTAAAACCAGATTAAGTTCATCTGAAATTGATTACATAAACATTTTTATATACATTTTAGATGGACTACCACTCAAAAACACTGTGACAAAAGACTGCACTGACCTGTGTGTGCCAAAGACTCTTCGGCTGTGTTGTTGAAAATGTTGACTGTTAACTGATCTTCAGACAGAAAGGCATCCAGCTCTGTGCAAAAACTGTGCCTGTGTAGAACTTGTTGCTGATACTTGGCCAAGGCACACCTCTTCTTTTGCTTCTAATTTATTGGTGTTGATTTATATGTCTCATAATGTGTCAACCCTCAGAGATTTACTGTTAGCTGTCTGATTCCATTGCAAAACTACAGATTATACAAGATTACACAGCTCCGTCTTAAACAAAATATTCTGCCTGTTTCTGTCCAAAGCCTGGCACAAAAAGCGAATATATCCATACAGACTACAGACAGTATATAAACATTTCATAAATGGTTTATAACACTAATGTAGCAGCTATAGGTGTTTATTAATGTATTTGCAGACACTCGCCCTGTTGGTACCCACAATACCAATGCAATTAGTGGAGGCTGGTGGGCAAACAAATAATCAATGACAATAGAGTAAACCACAGTTGTAGTAATATAAAATATGTGTTCATAGGAGAAATCGTTGACAAGTACTGTACATTAACCCCTGAGGATGTCAAAAATGAATTGAGATTGGCCAAAAATCTGGTACCAGTATTAATATCTGTATATCACTGATTGATCGAACACATTTTAAAGTGACTTGGATCCTAAACTTTACACTTTAAAACCATTGCATTACAGTGTGACCCAGGATTGGCTTCTACACAATAAATAACACACAATGACAATCCCTTTTAGTCATGAAAGGTTGTCCTTGAATATCCACTTGAGGCGGGCTCCAAAATCTCTATATTAAAATACCAATAATAAGGGGTTGAAACAAGACACGCCCTTCAGCACTCTGGGTTTGATGTTACAGGTATCAGTAGTGTAGTGTTGTGTCCCAGAAGTGGAACACTCTCTATACTGTAAGCCTGAAAAGTATTTAAAACAAAAAACGCCCTTCAGCAACCATGAATTTAAAATGAAATGTTTCATAGAGAAATTGTTGACAAGTACTGTACATTAACCCCTGAGGATGTCAAAAATGAATTGATATTGGCCAAATATCTGGTACCAGTATTGGTATCTGTACATCACTGATTGATCGGACACATTTTAAAGTGACTTGGATCCTAAACTTTACACTTTAAAACCAGATTAAGTTCATCTGAAATTGATTACATAAACATTTTTATATACATTTTAGATGGACTACCACTCAAAAACACTGTGACAAAAGACTGCACTGACCTGTGTGTGCCAAAGACTCTTCGGCTGTGTTGTTGAAAATGTTGACTGTTAACTGATCTTCAGACAGAAAGGCATCCAGCTCTGTGCAAAAACTGTGCCTGTGTAGAACTTGTTGCTGATACTTGGCCAAGGCACACCTCTTCTTTTGCTTCTAATTTATTGGTGTTGATTTATATGTCTCATAATGCGTCCAACCCTCAGAGATTTATTGTTAGCTGTCTGATTCCATTGCAAAACTACAGATTATACAAGATTACACAGCTCCGTCTTAAACAAAATATTCTGCCTGTTTCTGTCCAAAGCCTGGCACAAAAAGTGAATATATCCATACAGACTACAGACAGTATATAAACATTTCATAAATGGTTTATAACACTAATGTAGCAGCTATATGTGTTTATTAATGTATTTGCAGACACTCGCCCTGTTGGTACCCACAATACCAATGCAATTAGTGGAGGCTGGTGGGCAAACAAATAATCAATGACAATAGAGTAAACCACAGTTGTAGTAATATAAAATATGTGTTCATAGGAGAAATCGTTGACAAGTACTGTACATTAACCCCTGAGGATGTCAAAAATGAATTGAGATTGGCCAATATCTGGTACCAGTATTAATATCTGTATATCACTGATTGATCGAACACATTTTAAAGTGACTTGGATCCTAAACTTTACACTTTAAAACCAGATTAAGTTCATTTGAAATAGATTACACATTCTTCAATAACATATTATCGACCATTAATGGGAAATATATATTATAAATTATAGCCGATTAATTATTGTTGGAGAATGCAAATAAATAAAAAACGTGAATCATTTATTTCAAATTCTTTCGTTTGATAAGCTGTGTTGTTGGTAACAATAGTGAAAGTGAGTGAGATTTGATAAGCAAACCCAAAGCTACCCTACCAGTCTAACCAAAAACAGCCACCATACCCCTTTGTTACTTTTCACGACTGTAGATTTTATCTGAATCTTATGAAACGGTTTCATTCCCAGAAATTATTCTGGTATTTTAGTTGAGTATTTCCTTTTCCTGTATTTGTGTTTCAGAGTGAAAGGGAAAGTAAAAAAAAAACAAAAAACATTCTTGATCAAGTAGCTTTAATTTTAAGTGACACTAACTTAATTTGTACTGTGAAAACAAAATATCTAGTAAAGAGGTAAAAGAGTTTAGTTAAAACAACTTATTGCATTACAGTGTGACCCAGGATTGGCTTCTACACAATAAATAACACACAATGACAATCCCTTTTAGTCATGAAAGGTTGTCCTTGAATATCCACTTGAGGCGGGCTCCAAAATCTCTTTTAGGCCCCATATTAAAATACCAATAAACATGTTTACAGCCTGGCACAAGAAAAAGGTGGTTGGTATACCTCATTCCCCCATTGATGACAACTGTACAGGCGTGAATTTTATATTTTTATAATTTTATGTTGAGGCTAAAAGTTATGCATGATAAAGAAGAGAGAAGAGCCAAAAAGGTGACAGCCAAAGCCAATGAACAACAACCCATGGTCAAATACTTTTAAATGACCTTCATGAGAGAGATCTGTCTCTCTGTAAACCTGTCTGTCTGCATCTGGTCTCTTCTTCTTTCTGTTTGTCTTCATAGGGTGTGTCTACGTTCTCCCTAAGCAATCACACTACAAGAAATGTATTATATTATTAGAATTGTTATATATTGTGTGGAGTTGTGTACTTATCACAAATGTTTCCAACAATGTTCAAAACCTGGAGAAATCTGTCATTCTCTTCAGGTAACGGTGGGTTTCACCGGCAGCCTTACCCTCCTAAAAAAAAATGTGAATAGGTTATTTTCACTGTTATTTAATTTGGCCAAAAGTTCGAGAAAATGTATAAAAATACTGTTCTGTTCATGGGTTTCACACCCAAGACTAAATTTTCTGTATCTCTACCAATTTGGGGGTCCTTGACACTCATGCTTGATAATTATCCGGACGGATTATCAGCCAATAATTTATATTATTATGAATTACAGTGCAATTAAAAGAGTACAGTGCACATACAATCGTATCACAAATAAGAATATTACAAAATATAATAGAAAACATAAAACTATAAATGAAAAATATATATACACTATACACAATGTGCACTACAAAGGTGTGCAATTCAAAAACTATTTTAAGCAGCTTGACTAAAAAACTAAACTGTAGATGTGCAATTAAAGATAAATAATATAAGTTTGGTTGAATTTAAAACCAGTCTTTTTTCCGCGGGGGTTGGAGGTACTAGGTGCTGTGGCGTTGTGGAGTCTGATGGCTGACGGTACAAACGAGCACTAACGTTATGCTGGCAAGATTCAAAGTCAATTACACTGCGCATTCATTTAGAAAGGTGAACAGACAGTTTTACTGGAACTACTTGGTAGGTGCAGGTATTAATGGACACCCAGCAGCCAATCAGAATCAAGTATTCACCCTAATCCATGGTATAAAACTCCTTAAATGGCCATAAAACCATTTCAGTGACTCTTGAAAGTCCACCTGAGACAGATACTTGTCTACGTGTGTCTGTTGAGTTGCTTTAAAGTTTGAAGAGACTCTCATTCTTTGTTTTTTTCCCTCTGTAGTCTTTGGATCCAGAGAAATCGGGTGAATCAGCAGTGCTGCAGTTTTCTTTTTTTTACTAAATGAGGTTTCAATTACGCAAAGACGGATGAGCGTAGCGGTGATGTTGTACCTGTCGCTCATCCCTCCAGCTTCATTAACTTCCTGTTTCTTAACCTCGCCTCTCATCTCCTTCACCGTGTCCATTTTTAAATGAGCTGTCGATCAGCCCGCCTGGCCCCCAGAGCCTCAATTACTCCGACATTATTACCTCAACGTACAAGACAGAGGATTAAAAACACTTTGGGTGCTGTCGGTTCACTTTAATGCTAGCATAGGCTGAAAACTACACCTGACACCGAGTGGAGGAAGAATATTAATTACAACTTTTGTTCAACTGAAAAAAAAAGAATAAGATACTGATTTACTTCTTATATTCTTATGTTTTCATTAATGCTGAGCGTGCACTGTTACGATATTGTTGCATAACAGACGACAGGCTGTGAACAGCCAACTTTAAATTGTAAAACTTTAATTACAGGCAGTGAAAATGAGAACCATCTCACCACCGGTGGGGCAAAAGAAAACTTAACTACCACCTCTAAATGTCTCCTGACTGCAACTAAAGTCTCCTAAATGAACTCCTAGAATCTGCTCAAGGATGTCTATATTTGTTTTAAAAGACATATCAACTTTTTAAATGATCCTCCTAAGGCCTCTTCAAGGACCCCACAACCTCATCATGGACCCCACAACCTCATCATGGACCCCACAACTTCTTTAGTGACCAAGTTCTTTAAGGAATGACCCTACAACGTCTTCAAGGACCCTACAGCCTCATCAAGGACCCTACAGCCTCATCAAGGACCCTACAGCCTCATCAAGGACCCTACAGCCTCTTCAAGGACCCTACAGCCTCATCAAGGATTCTACAGCCTCATCAAGGACCCTACAACCTCATCAAGGACCCTACAACCTCTTCAAGGACCCTACAGCCTCATCAAGGTTCTACAGCCTCATCAAGGACCCTACAGCCTCATCAAGGACCCTACAACCTCATCAAGGACCCTACAACCTCTTCAAGGACCCTACAGCCTCATCAAGGATTCTACAGCCTCATCAAGGACCCTACAGCCTCATCAAGGACCCTACAGCCTCATCAAGGATCCTACAGCCTCATCAAGGACCCTACAGCCTCATCAAGGACCCTACAGCCTCTTCAAGGACCCTACAGCCTCATCAAGGACCCTACAGCCTCATCAAGGACCCTACAACCTGTTCAGAGACCCTATGATCTCTTGAAAGACCCTTACTACCCCATTCAGTGACTACAACCTCATCAAGGATCCTTACAACCTCTTTGAGACGTCTACAACCTCCTTTAGAACTAATATTATTTATAATAAATACCCTCTTCACGCCATGCCACTACCTCCTGCTGTGACCTTATCAGCCACACCTGTATATAACAAGCTGTATATAATGTACATGTAACTCTCCATTATATATATTTTTATCCGTTGTATCTGGAGTGACTGATAAAAGAAGATAAAGGACACCATCTCTTATTATATACTCATCTATCCTTCTGCTAGTTTCGTAATAGCAACAATTATAGAGCAGGTTTACAAGATATAAGTCAGTCTGTTCTGCTCTACCAGTTGAATAACAACTCTAGGAGTAAACCTGTGTGCATGCTAGAGATCATGACGAGTCATGAAAGACATTTCCCTGGGATTATTATTATTAATTTGGATTTTTTTCTCTTGGGTGCAGGAACATTTGTGATGTTAAGGTTTGTTTAGCTCCTGCCCAAACTTGACAACAGCCGTTTTATGTACGATCTGCCCTCCATTTGTTTACCTTCTTAAAGTCCAGTTTTGCTTTTATTACTATTTATTTATAGTCGGTTCTTATACTGCTAGTCACCATTCACTCGTTGACAGATTGTTCTTTGTACTCATGCAAGACGTTCTGTCGTTGTTCGGACGGATCTCACTGTCCCCGACCACGAGCTTGTGAGTACAGAAAGCCCTAATCTGAACTGTACACACCGGAGCTCCGGTTCGGCTGAGTCGATTCCTCGACTCCTCCAAGAGACTCTGAGGGTTCACAGCCCGAAGCCAGGATTTAACGATATCGTTTGCTGCTTTCTTGCTTTGTTTGTTCCACGAGCTGAAAATAAAGGTCATTACAGACTGTCTGCCTATGTGTGCTGCATTTGGGTCCTAAACCGACCCTTTAGAGATAAGTTATTGAACATCTTAATTCAAATTTGGCACAGCAACACTGTAATGTAGTCCAAAGAGAGGAATAAGATGCAATAAAAGCTAATAAGATTGATAAAAAATTGTTTGCCACAGCAGAAATATAATATAATGTATATATTACATCTTATA